TGGGGGGCAGATTCTGGGCAGTGGCAATGAGCCATGGCTCCCAGTCAGCCCCATAGCCATTAGGTGACTAACTGATGCTCTGCACTGGATTGCACTGTTGAGATGTTTAGAAAGCTAAATGTGTTAGATGCACTTTTATATTTTTAACCTATCAGATTTTTCCAGGACAGAATCACATTGTCGACTGAAAAGTGTCTGTATTTTGATATAAAGAACCAAGTTTAGTCAGAAGTGTGACATTCCTAACAATGCCCTTTGGGATACAGTCAATAAATACTCAATACTTACCACGTTGATGTCAGGGTCAACCAGTTGGGAGAGAAAAAATACAAATGTTATTTTACGCTGACAAACTTAACTAAAAAACTGGTTTCTATGCCATTCTATTTTTTTTTAAACCAATTTTAAGTATATTCTTGGAAAAAACATTTTTATCCTCAGGATATTTCCTCTTCTTCAAATTCTGTCAATTATTAGATAACTAAGTATCAGATTTAAAATCTGTAGTCTACCTATGGATTTAAAATAGGGATTCCTTAAAGCACATTTCCTTAACTGCCCATTCAAGCTGATTTCAGGGTATTTGGAAGAAATGCTGATTTCCTTTTTGGCTTAAAATGTGGCAGTGGAGGCTGAGCTCTACAGGAGAGATCTAGGAGAGCCAGCGGAAGAAGACATAGAACATTACTCTTGTTTCCAGGGAATACTAAGAAGAACCATCGGTTCATTATTTGTGAATTGAATCGTTTGAATCAAATTCTGGCAACATCAGAGTCAAGCCTTCTGGCTTCCAGGCTTCAGATGGTCCTGACTTTTCATAGCTTCCTGCTCTTCACACAGTTGCTTCCTCCATCTTGGGTCTGGCTTCCCTCTCTCTCTCCCACAGACCCTCCAATGGCCCTGTACAACTTCTTTGGCAAATTTTCTTTAAAAAGAATTAACTTCTAATCTTCCATTTAATCCATTTGATTAAATCAATTATAAGAATAAGATTCCTTATTCTTTAGGAAGCATGCAGATGATATTTTTTTTAAATACACACACACACACACACACACACACACACGCACTATGGATCCTAAAGTGCTTATAACAATGTCTGTAAACATTTAGTTATTCCATCTTAGATAATTTATGTCTTAGTTTAATGTCCTTGTGATAGAAAAATCATATTCAATTCATATGCTCTTCAACTCATATTTTTCTAGAAGTAGTTCATTTTTTTAGCATTGTTCATTATGCACATTTACATACTGTGAGGAAGTGAAATAAACATGTAAATTGTATCTGTAGATAAAAATATTGAGGCATTTACATATCAATCTCAAAGCATTCGATTCACACATATTAAGCAGGTACGTGAAAGACAGTTAAATTAGTACATAAAGTTTTTATTTAAAGTTTTCCCCTTCCAAGCAAGCTTCATTTACATTCTAACATTGTACAGAATTTACATTCTTTGTGATTTTTTTTATTCATGTTTCACTTTCTAGGACTTTGTGTCTTTTTGAAATACAGAAGGCTTTATTTATAGTTCTCATAAATGTTTTTATTTAATTTGGCTAGAGATAAAAACTAAAGTGAAAAACAAATCTAAGGAAAGCCAATGTCCTTGTGTAAGTGGCGGCTTTTGGAAGAAATGGTGGAGTTGACAATGAAGTTTCTGGGACAGAGCTTGTTCTCTCTGGGATGTCAGCTGGGATTTCCCCACAGTCCTGTAATGTTTCTTTCTTTCTATATAGTCATATGTTTTCAAGGAAAAGAAACGAAAGCTGATTGCACTGGCTATATATATATATATTCATATATATATTTTTACAACGGATCCTTTGGATCTGAACATACAAATAAATACAAAAACAAGGAAGATTGCACTTTACTGTAGAAACAGCGGTGGATTCTGGTGTGCTCATCCGTTTTAATGTGCTCCACAATGAGAGTTTACCATGAAGGCATTTTTTTTCATCTGTGACTCTCCCTAATTGGTACTTTGATCACATTTGTTGAAGGATTCAACACCTCTGCATGATTAAAAAAATATTTAGATGTTGTTATATTCCCGACAGTCATTTGTCAAGCCAGAGGACCTGAAAGTCAAATTCATGTTCCTGCCAGTTTTGCTGTTCTGATTGGCCACAATGAGATGACATCATGCTCTCCTGACCTTTGAGACACATAATGACTAGTAATTGCCTACTTAACCAAGCCCTGGCATCTCTGAGGATAAGAAACCAGGGGCTGGATGGGAGACTGATGAGAATTGAGTGTCTAGACCTGGTACAAGGTGAGGACATGTGCTGTCATGTCTGGTGTGACACCTCAGTAACTGTGCTGTGGAATCAGAGAGACAACTGGAACTGTACTTAAGAGAGACTTTTCTTTTTATTCCCAAATTCCTGAAAGTGATTTTTCAGTTTTGATCACGGATTAAATTTGTGACAAATGTGTTATTGAACAGAATTTCTGTAATAGTCTATGATGGAGTTTGCTACTCTTATCTTTTGAGGCAAATAATCTATATGTTCATTACTTAAAATGCTGTAAAAGACACGAGGAAGCATATGCTTCTGGGGACTGAGGAGTGAGAAAGTGTCCTTTGTTTTTAGTTTCAAATAGCATAGATGACATAAAAATTAGGACTCTGGCTAGCCTAGAATTTATAGGGCAGAGAGCACTTGCTACAAAGCCAACAACTCATTTTTCCCTGACCCCATGGGGCACTGTAAGGTATACCAAATGAAGCTGTACAGAAACAAAAATGCCCAACTTTAATCTTCTATGATTTTTAGTAGCTGTGTGACCTATGGTGTTGGTAAAGTATAAAAGGTTACAAATACAGTATCAAGTAGCAATTTCTGGAATGCAGTATAGGTATTTTGGCGGGTCAAGTTTTGAATCACTCATGTACACGATGTCCTCCAAATTTCAACATCGATCACATGCAGTTAGAATACAATGCACAATACTGATCCTAGGTCTCTGGGGTCAGTCTTCTGTAGTTGATCTTTCTTTTTGAAAGTTAAGATCCACAGGAGGAGGAGTTTTTTGTAAAGCTGGAACAAGTCAAAACCAGTTTTCAGCGGAAGAGTCTGTCACCACAGCAAGTTGGGTGTGATCTGAATTGTAGACAACAAGATCTGTTCAAGAACAGATCTTTCTTCTGTAGCTCCTTGTAAGTCATCAGAAACCAAGGGTGGGTGTTGGCAGTTGTACCATTACAATGCACGGTTCATACAGGACAGCAATGTCAACCGTTGGTCCTAGGATGTGGCCCTGATCCACTGTTTCCTGCTGTTATTTGTTGTAGGGTACACAGGCAGGCAGGATGACTGTTGCACAGGCTGGACCTGCCAATGGTTCAGCCACATCTCCTTCAAGTTCTGTCCAAGTTCCTTTTTCTGGACAATAGCAGATTGTAGATGACTTGTAGGCCCCCTGGAACAGCAGAGCAAGAAGCAATCAGAGGAGAATGCTCAGAGGCTTGCAAGAGCAATGCCACTTACATCACATTGGAAAGATCTACTACTTGTCCTAAAAAGTTTGAATGAAATCAGTGGCGATTAAACTCTTTTCTTCCAAGGAAAAATTTGAAGCTGACATCAAAGTCTTGGAGGTTTTCTTTTAGTCTCTATGTGTGTATGCATGTTCAGAAGTGTCTGTATATGGGTGTATATGTTAATGAACATGCATGTGTGTGTGAGAGTGTGTGTGTATGTGTGTCTGTGTGTGTAGATCAGGCAACAACCTCAATTCTTGTTAGTGCTTAGATGCTGTCCACTCATCTTTTTTTCAGAGACAAGAGATAGGATCTCTCAATAGGCCTGGAGCTTGCCAAGCAAGTGTGGCTGCTCAGTGAGTCCCAGTCTGCCTCCTAAGCACTGGGAACACAAATGCAAGCCACCATTCCCGACTTTTTAAAATGTGTCTTCTGGAGATCAAGCTCAGGTCCTTGTGCTTGCAAAGCAAGACTTTACTGACCAAGGTGTCTCCCCAGTCCTTGTGTATTTCTTTTTGATGACTAGTATTGAAAGTCAAACACCTAGAACATCCCTGATAATCAAACCCTTCAAACACTTTAGAGTAATTGACCCCAAAATGGAAGTTTTCCAGTGGATTTGAATTAGAAAAAAAAAGAGAGAGAAATTCACCTTACTACTCAAATAGTGGAAGTACAGTGGATGTTAGATTGTTACCTCACTGCTTTGTTTTAAGGTCTCCCTCTACCCCCATCCCCTGGTGGAGAACCAGAGGCAGGATCACAAAGCATTTTAAGTAGACTAGAAATTTCTTCACATACTGATCTGTTTATTTTCAAGAGACCACACAAGAAATGAACAATGTCTTTAATTTTGTCAACTTTAGGGATGAATGCTTGAGTAAAATTTTCCTCCCCAAACCCAATCACAGGAAACAAACAAAACCCCCAAGAAAACTAATGACATTTTCAGAATGTGTGCTCTTGGGATCTATTTGTAGCATCCACACTCTTGCAGCTAACAATTTGCACCAGAAAATAATCACATGTATGAACATCTGGGTACACAGATCAATTTATATCTGCCTCCATATAACTTTACAAAGCTCTCCAAAATTTTATATAATGATCTTGTTTGATGCAAAATGACTAAAACTAATGTTCTTAAAAGTCAAAATTGATCTTATATAACTGATCTAAACAAGGCAACATAAAAACAGTGCTTGAGGTTTTTTTATTTTTCTAGAAAAATGAAACAAAATTTAAAAAAGTATAAATAGGGGCTGGAGAGATGGCTCAGCAGTTAAGAACACTGGTTGTTCTTGCAGAAGCCCCAGGTTTGAATCCCAGCACCCACATGGACGCTAACAACTATCTGTAACTCCAGTCCCAGGGGATCTAACAGCTTCTTCTGTCCTCTGCAGACATTGCATGACACGGGTGCACTTACCTATATGTAGGCAATACATGCATACACATAAAATAATAAATAAAAAATATTTTAAAAGAGTATAAATAATAAAAAGTTTAAATCTAACCAATTCCTGGCTCTAACTTCTAAAGAACTATTTTATTTATTACTCATTTATTTATTTATTTTTAAATTTCATAGTAAAAGCTGTGGTTTTAACTGATAGTGGCTATTTCTTAGTTTTCAGTGCAGGTGTTTGTTGTTTCTCTGTGGACATTTCATTGCTGTCTGTGAATAGAAATGGCTTCTTTCTTTCTTTCTTTCTTTCTTTCTTTCTTTCTTTCTTTCTTTCTTTCTTTCTTTCTTTCTTTCTCTTACCTATATAGCTTTATTTGTTTCTTGATTGTCTTTTCCCCTTGCCTAGGGTTAGAAGTATGGGCCATGCCTATCTGTCCTGCTTTAAAAAATTATTTTATTTATCTTTATCCAACATGCATGGGTATAGTACTTGCGTGTAGGCAGGTGTACCCACATTGTGCAGTGCCTGTGGATGTCAGAAGAGGGCGTCAGATCCCCTGGAACTGGAGTTACAGATGGTTGCCAGCCACTATGTGGGTACTGGGAATTGAACCCGGGTCCTCTGCAAGAGCAGTCAGCGCCCTCAACTGCTGAGCCAACTCTCCAGCCCTAGAACTACTTTATTTTATATTAATACCTATTTTTATTTTATGTGAATCAATTTATTTTATGTGTATGAGTGTTTTGCTTGCATATATGTAGGTACAGCATATGTATGCAATGCCTGTGGAGGCCAGAAGAGGGCGCTGGATCTCCTGGAACTGGAGTTACAGTTATTAGCTGCCATGTTGGTGCTGAGAACTGATTCCGGGTCCTCTGCAAGGGCAGCCACTTAACTGCCTAACCACTGCATCACTTCTGCAGCCCCTGAAGAATTACTGTAAATGACAGCGCAACAAAGGAGTCATCCAACCCCATAGTGTAGGGTGTTTGGGTGACAAATGAACCTGTTTTTTCTCTGAGTCAGGGAACAAAAAGTGGGGAGGAGGTAATGCTCTAGATTACGAGAGCTCTATGAGCCATCATAACCAGATGTGTGTGAGATATGTTGAATCTTGGTTTGAACACTTCCATTTGAAAAACATATCTTTTTATTTTTTCTAAGCCAAAGGAGGGAATTTGAATTTGGATTGGATATAAGGCAGTTATGGTTACTTTTCATGGGTGTGATAAATAATTTTATTTTCATAAGTGATTTTTTTTAAAGATAAATAACTGAGCCATTTAGGGTGAAATAAAGTATTTGATATTTGCTTCACATGTCTTCAGTCAAACTTCAAAGGAGGAATCTACTGATGGTCAGTGACATTGGATGATGGGTAGTGGAGAGTCTACTTTCACCTTAAGTTTTGTGTTTGGAAAATTTCATGATAAAGAACAAGGGGGAAGTGAAAAATAATTTTATGCCCTAAGGAAAATTCATGGATCCTGAAGAATTAATTTCCATGTTTTACATTGTACTGGTCAGAAACTTTTCAGACTTTTCCTTGCAATTTCTACAGAATACTTGGAAAATCATTACAGGTTGGCTTTAACTTGGAAAAGCAGAAAAACAAACACACGGGAATAAGAGAGAATTGGACACAGAGGACCCGCTGAGGGGCAGTTGACCAGCTGGCTAGCCATGTCTATGGCATCCATGACAGCTCTGTCTTACTAGGCATAGTGACTTACTGCTAGCATATGAATGTGATATTCTTAAAAGGCACAGGTGTGATAACAGTACATCTAGAGGGAAACAAAGAGAAGTGAGCACACACCGAGGGAAGATGAAAAACGTGTGGACACGTACCATACTCCAGCTGTAGCCCCCCACAAGATAAATGCTATCATCAAGCACCGCACAGCCAGGGCCACTTCGCCCCTCCAGGATGGGAGTTTGTAGAATGTTCCACTGGTCACCTTTTGGGTCATAGCATTCCACCAGCATGACATCAAGGTGGGAGAAACCTAAGTGACACAGCAAAACGGAAGCACAGACATGTAACTCTCAAGGTTCTCCTGTATGGCTACAACTTCATTTTTATGAGAGGAGCCAGTAAGTAAGCAATTGTCTTTGAAGATGATAGTGTAGAAATTCTTGGGTGAAACTGGGGGTTATGTCAGAAACTTCAAAAAACCTCAAAGTTAAGGTATTTTTGGATTAACTCAAAGCCAGAATGCCTGAGAAAAATGTCATTAGTAAAGATTTATTAGATTGGAGTAGACAGTATTAAAAATGACTTGTTCAAACACTTTAAAAGGTTTAAGATAATAATAGTCAATACAAGTAGTTTTATGGTACGGTATGCCAGTTACTTTTTCTAAAGATGAGATTTGAACATAGATAAACAGGCTTCAGAGCTCAACTTTTACAGACTAACTGTATTGCTTTTCTTGCATATTGTACGATCTCAAAATATTTTTATCAGTCGAAATTCATTGTTCAGAATCTTAAACATTTTCTATAATCTGTGATTATAAACAGCTCCAGTGAGTGAATAGTTTCTAGTATTTCCCAAGGATCAAGGCTTAGAGTAGACCTATAAGCTCTGAGGAGCTTCTCCCTCCTTCTCTTCCTCCTTTCCTCTCTGGTAGAGTTCCTCAGTTGCCTTCCACCTTGGTTTTTGTGACAGGGTCTACATTGTGATCATAAACCTTCCACAGGGGTCTTTTCATCCCTAAACTAGAGACAGGGCTTCAAAAGACAGCCATTAGTTTAATGGGACCTCATTAAAATAAAAACATTGTGTACATCAAAAGAATCAACCAAGGAAGTGAAGAGAAAACCCACAGAGTTGGGAGAAAATCTTCACCAGCGACATATCTGACAGAGGTTTAATATCCAGATGATATAAAGAACTCGTAAAACAAAGAATCAAGAAAGCAAGTAGCCCAATTAAAAGATGGGCTAAGGATCTGAAAAGAGAGTTCTCAAAAGAAGAAATAAAGATGGCTAAAAAGCATCTTAAAAGGTGTTCAACATCATTAGTAATTAGGGAAATGCAAATTAAAACCACTTTAAGATTTCATCTTACCCCAGCCAGACCGGCTAAGATTAAGAGAACGAATGATATCAAATGTTGGAGAGGATGTGGGGAAAGGGGAACACTCATCCACTGCTGGTGGGACTGCAAAGTTGTGCAACCCCTATGGAAAGCAGTGTGGAGAACCCTTAGAAAACTAAAACTTTGACCCAGTTATACCACTCCTTGGCATATACCCAAAGGACTCATCCTACTGCAGAGACACTTGTACATCCATGTTTGTTGCTGCTCTTTTCACAATAGCTAAGAGATGGAAGCAACCTAAGTGTCCCTCAACTGACGAGTGGATAATGAAAATGTGGTACATTTATACAATGGAATTCTACTCAGACATGGAGGGAGGGTTAGACAGTGAGAGGGAAAGGAAAGATAAATAATGCCTAGCTAGTTTTCAAAAACCAGAGGGACCCATATTAGTCCCAGAACCTGAAAAATTATATATACATTATCTCTACATGAGTCCATGGGTATAGCTAAAGGCTATATAACAAGAAACAGTGCCAAACAGGAGACACCTTCCTTTGAGTTGTTAGCCAGGGTGGTCCAAGAGACTCCCAAAATTACTCAGGCTATTGCCACAGTCCTTGATGGCCTCCCAGAATTTGAAGGTAAGACCCTACTGCCGAAGAAAGAACATACTTCGGACACAGGATTTGGAGCAATAGAGCTGCAACTGACCTGCAACCACTTCCCCTGAAGGCAGCTCTCATAGCTTGGGAGAGCGCTATGAAGGTGCCAAGGGAAAACATCAGTGGATGATCCAACACCAGCTTCAAGACCAAATAACCACATCGATGGCCAGCACAGCATACATCATTGGTGCAGTAGTGGCACTTTTATCTTGGGGGCAATGAACCTGATTGGATTAAAAGCCCACTCAAAGGAAGGAAGTTCAAGTGTGGTACTGTAAACATAACCTAAAATACATGGCTGGAGAGGTCATAGATCTTAGAGAAAACCCCAAATCTGTCACATCACTAGACTAGTGAGATTTCTTACTATGTGCAAAATATGAATCCTTATATTTACAGACAAATATCCTAGTCACTACTCATCAAAGAAGCTCATTTTGAACCAGAGACCATTACCAAGTACTACAACTGGTCACACACAGACATTGTCTATGAATTGATCAGGCCTAAGTGACACATCTACAATGTAACCTCTATACCTAAGGCTCATGGAACATAGAACAGGGATAAAGAGGATAGTAATAAATTTCTTAGTTCTCAATAATGAAGCTCCCTCATGTAGCAGAGGGCCAGGAACACAAAGGGTCACAAATGGCCAAAGTGTAGAGATCAAGAGTCTGCTGAATAATGGTCATTGGACAGGACTCCTTTATTAAACTTCTCCCACCCAAGGCTCAGGGACCATCACAGAAGAGGATGTGGAAAGATAAGAGCCAGGGAGGAGGTGCATGACATATGGAAACAGAGCCCTACAAGCTCCTGGGAACCTGCTCATATTGAGTCTATGGCAGTGGTGTCGGCATACACAAGTCCCATGAAAACTCGGGCAGACAGTAATCCAGCATAGAACTGGGAAAATGAACAGCACACCTCAATCTTATCTGAAGGAATGTTGGCAACTGACTGCTGCTAGATAAAGAAGATGTGATTTTCTTAAACCAAGGGACTCTAGATAGGCCGACTAGACTCAGTGGATAGACTTATACTGGGGGATGGCTGTGGACACTGACAACACAGTGGGCCTTAATAGGGATGACAGTATACGGACTCCGGGGGTGGGGGTGGTTTGGGAGCGTGCTGGTGGGAGTAGGGGTAAAAGATGAACACTGTTTGAGATATTCTGTATGAAATATACAAAAAATTAAAAAAAATAACAAAAACAAAACGAATCCAGAAGCTACATTGTCCTTGGTGGCCTGGTTAGTAACCTAGTACTTAAAAGCCTCATCAGAAGTGGAAAGGAGAGCCTGAAATCTCTGCATTTGGGCGTCACGAGTTCAAGGGCAGCCTGGGCTACATAGCAATATCCTACCTCAAAAAAAAAAAAAAAAAAAAAAAAGAGGGAGGGAGGCAGTTCAAATGATGTTTTTTGTCTACTTAAATGCATGCTATGGTCATTTGCTAGCTGACAGTCCATGTGCCTACACTGACTAACATACAGGAGTCTTAAAAAATAATTGAAGAGTCAAATCCAAAAGAATAATTATCATTCATGAGAAGGCAGATGGTTGTTTCAGGGCACTAATTTGTTTCTTAAAAATATTTTTATTTATTTATTACCATGCTTGGGCAAAAACCAAACATTCTCAGATAAACCATGACTAGAAGTATATTATGTTCCTTGAACTAGTTGAACAGATAATTTGTCAGTAGATTGTTGGACTAATATGGTTCCCTGTGGTTTTTTAAAAAAAACTAGGTAGGCATTATTTCTCTCTCTCATTATCTAACCCTTCCACAATGGTTTTTCCCATTTAGAGTGCCCCCATTTTCCCCATCTATCCCTTAATACCCTTCTCCTGTGGTCCCTCCTCTCTTGAGCTCCTTCTTTCCCTTTATCCCCAAGGTTCCTTGTATAATCTTCCCTCCCCGCTCCGATTTAAATAACCCCATTTTTTATCCGTATCTCCCTTATTAACACCTGTTTCCTACTGTTCTTCTCTTTAAGACTCTTTCTTTTCCTTTACCTCCCTGATTCCTTTTCATTATCCTGTTCCTGTAGTTATGTCTGGATATATACTCACTTATGAGGATTTGGTGCTAGGGTCCACATATGAGGGAGAACATATATCATTTGTTTTTCTGAATCTGTGTTACTTCACTTAGTATAACAGTTTCTGGTTCCATCCATTTACCTGAAAATTTCATGATTTCATCTTTCTTTACTACGGAGTAGAACTCTATTGCATAAATGAACCACATTTTCATTATCCACTCATCAATTGAGGGACACCTAGGTTGCTTCCATCTCTTAGCTATTGTGAAAAGAACAGCAACAAACATGGATGTACAAGTGTCTCTGCAATAGGATGAGTTCTTTGGATATATGCCAAGGAGTGGTATAACTGGGTCAAATGGTAGGTTCATTTGTAGTTTTTTAAGAGCGCACCATACTGCTTTCCATAGGGGTTGAACCAGTTTGAGTGTTCCCCTTTCCCCACATCCTCTCCAACATTTGGTATCATTTGTTACCTTGACCTTAGCCAGTCTGACTGGGGTAAGATGAAATCTTAAAGTGGTTTTAATTTGCATTTCCCTAATTACTAATGATGTTGAGCACCTTTTAAGATGCTTCTTATCCATCTTTACTTCTTTTGAGAACTCTCTCTTTAGCTCCTTAGCCCATCTTTTAATTGGGTTACTTGCTTTCTTGATTCTTTGTTTTTTGAGTTCGTTATATATTCTGAATGTTGAACCTCTGTCAGATGTGTTGCTGGTGAAGATTTTCTCCCATTCTGTGGGTTTTCACTTCATTTCCTTGGTTTCTTCTTTTGCTGTATAGAAGCTGTTTGGTTTAATGAGGTCCTATTTGTTGATTCTTGACCATGTTTCCTGAGCAATTGCTGTCTGGTTTAGAAAATCCCTTCCTACACCTATATCTTATAGGTTATTGCCAATGTTTTCTTCCAACAGTTTCAGAGTTTCAGGCTTCACATTGAGGCCTTTGATCCATTTGGAACTGACTTTTATGCAAGGTGAAAGATAGGGGTTTAGTTTCATTCTGCTACAGGTGGAGATCCGGTTTTGCCAGCACCATTTTCTGAACATGTTGACTTTCCTTCAGTGAGTGTTCTTGGCCCCTTTGTCACATATCAGATGGCTGAAATTGAATGTATTCATATTTGGGTCTTCAATTTTGTTCCATTGATCTATGAGTCTATTTTTGTGCCAGTACCAGTATGAGTGTTTTGCCTGCATCTATGTAAGTGCACCTGTGTATGTAGTGCCCGTGGAGGCCAGAAAAGGGCATGAGATCCCCCAGAACTAGAGTTATGAACAGTTGTTAACTTCCCTGAGGGTGCTGGGAATCAAACCCAGGTCCTCTGCAAGAGCAATCAGTGCTCTTAACTGCTGAGTCAACTCTCCAGTCCTCAGACCACTAACTTCTTATATAAAATTAAGTCACAGGAATGCTGACTGCAAAATTTGAGTCATATATGTTTAAAATGAGCATGTGGGGAAAATTCCAGGTTCTGAAGTTTTATAGGCCTTGTGTGGGGATATGTATGCTCTTTCCATGCCTCGTCCTACACATGTTGTACATGTTGACTACAATCCTCACAGGACAGGGTCACTCATTCCTCTTTTAAAGATACTGTTATATCTTCAACAAGATCAGCCGGGAGGTAATTTCAAACTAGGTTCAAGCCTATGCTTAGAAACAGCAAGCATCCCCTTCATTGTCATCCTGCTTCCTAAATAAGAACTTTTTTTTGTGAGACAGAGATTCATGTAGCCCAGGCTGGCCCCCAAATTGCTAAGGATGACCTTGAACTCTTGGTTCTCTTGTCTCCAATTCCTGAGTGGTGTTGGGATTAGATGTGTGTACCACAGTGTCCAGTTTATGTGGTGTTGGGTATTGACCAGGACCTTGTGCCTTCTAGGCAAACACTATCAACTCAGCTACATCCTTATCCCTGTACCTTTAGTGTGTGTGTGTGTGTGTGTGTGTGTGTGTGTGTGTGTGTGTGCTCACACAATTTCTCATTTAGGCTGTCACTACATAATCTTTCTGTCCAAACATAATCTTGAATATATAAGTCACTAAGACATATAAGCAATATCTTATGAAAAAGAAATGAGAAGAAATGACATTTTATTTAGAAAGCTGCCAAGCTAATCTAAAACATATGGAGGTCAGGGAATGGATTATGAAATTGAAAGGAGTAAGACAGGAAGAGGCCTGTGCGGCCGAGAGTCTGCTCCCATTGGGAGAGCACTAGGGGGACACAGGCACACCCTAGGGCGTCTGTACTCCTGACGGAACATGGACTTGGAAAACCATAGATAAAAATGACACCTCTGCTGTCTTTACTAAATTTGAGTAAAAATGTATTAGAAAAAATTTCCATGTCTAACCCATTTTTGAAATGCATATATCATGGTAAAATAGGTGAACAGCTGGGTAGACAGGGTCGCCTGTTTGCCATTTAGCCGTTTTAAAGATTTTGGAACAACAGTTAGAGGAGATGTTAGAGTTCACCTTAGATGAGCTTTTATTGTCTTCAGATGGGGAAACTGAGGCCCAAAGTAGGTCAAGAAATTTTCAATATTCCAGATCTTTCCATTTTCCCATCAAATGCAGTGTCACACACACACACACACACACACACACACACACACACACACACAAGTTAGAAAGTGCACATAAACTATAAAAAGTTGTATTTGCATGCATACGTGGAGAAGGAAAGCTTCAAACTACAGTTCTGAAAATGCTGTGCTTTAAGTTTAATTAAAAAAATAGACAATCATAGATCATTTGATATTCAGTACTTAAAAGAAACCTAAATTTCGACTCAGTTTTTCTTTAAGGAAAAGTTCATATATTAACTCTGAAATTCTGAGTACTGCTTTATGATCACCACAAAAAACAATTTTCTGGGGGAAAATTCATTACTCCAACTTTGGTGATAAGGAATAATTTATTTCTCTGTTACAACAAATTGTGTTTTTCAGTTATTAATGCTCCTGTTTTTTGTTTTCCTTAGACATCATTATTCATTTCTTTAATGTGTATGGTAACTTAAAAATAATCCTGTCTGCCGAAAACCCAGAATAAATGCTTGCTTGAGGGTACTGCTAATTCACACAGTGGTTTTTATTTGGCAACATGTTTTTTTACTTGGCTAACTATGATTATCTAATGAGAAACCCCCTTAGCAAGAAACATGAGATGCAAATGTTATTATAATAGAAAAAAATAGACCTTTCAAATGATTTCCTCCAATGGCATACAGGCGATCATTCATTACAGCCAACGTGTGGATGGCGCGTTTTGTGTTCATGTCTTGTTTTCGAGCCCAGACATCCATGACCGGGTCATAGCAATATAACCACGGGACATACTCTCCATTGTGCACGCCCCCTGTGAAGCAGACAGACAGCAGTCAATCACATGCCCAGGACCTGGAAGAAAGTGCTGGGGGCGGGGTGACTTGCCTGAGATGTATATTTTCCCATTGTGCACTGCTCCCGCGTGGGCCGCCAGAGGCTGCGGCAAAGACGACACGTAGCGCCACTCGTTCGTGTCCAGGTTGTAGCACTCCACGCTGGACAGGTAGCCGGTTTCGTTCCTCCCGCCAATCACGTACAAATGCTTGTCCAGGCGGCATGCGTAGAAACTGGCCCTCCTACCACGAAAAAAGCCCACCGTGAGTCATCGTGGAGCTGTGAAACGGCACATTTGGAACAGGATAAGGGTGTTCAGTCAAGGAAAGCGGGTACAACTTCAGAGAGGGCTGCCAGCTCTGGAGCATCACACCGTCTGCATCTGAGATGCTGCACAGCAATCCTCGGCGTCGTCCACCCTGGGCAGCATTTCAGATGCTGACGCACCAAGCCTTTGTTTCCTCTCTTTTCTTCTTCCTTCTCATACACTGCTGAAATGTTCATTAAGGTTTGGGGTGTTTGGTGTCTTATACGGACATCATAGCTCAGTAAGACAAAGTGAAAAATGAGGGAGGCATGTAACAATAATAAATTGTCTTGACATTCATTTTCCTTACGGTCCCTCAAGGGTCATTGTTCCTAATTTACAATAGAACTGCGTCATCAAAATTTCTCTTCAATTATAATTTTTTCTCCCCCCACCTCATACTGCAAATAAAATAACATTTGTGAACTTTGTATACAGTTTGAATTTGGCTCTCCTATAACCAATTACAGCAATTTCATCTGAGGAGCTTTTGGTACTGAGTCTAAGAAGGCTACAGAATATTTTTAGTTCTCTGTTCAAGAGAGGTTTGACTGTACTTCAAAGGCAAAAGACACAAAGTTCATTAAAAGAAGTGATGACCAATTCTGAGATAAGCCATGCCTTAGAAATGAGATATTTTAGAAGTGGAAAGAGGTGGTACAAAAATCTGTGCTAAAGAAGGAGGGTACAAGACTTTTGAGATCGAGATGCAAGAGGCGAGGGGGGTGAACAGCTCAAGGAAGTGTGAAGCACTTAGGGTTAGGTTGAACAAGATGAAACTTTAAGCAAGTTTTGGACATTTTACTTTTTGTCCCTAGCCTCATGCTGTTGCAATAACGTACTTTACAAGGACAGCATGTGGTTCAATAGTGAATGAATGTAATTAAGAGCCAAGGCTCTGAAGGACATAATTTATGCTGGTGAATTAACAGACTATAAAACGGATGCTAAGATTCTTGTGTAGTGTCAGTTGTGATGACTTCAGGCGACATGCTCACAAACACAAGCACACCGAAAGTGTTGTATAAAATTGCCTTCCGGGAAACTCCTAACTGGCAAAAATGCTGGAAATAAGACTGAGTGCTCAGCCACAGACAGGGCATGTATGTCAACTTCCACCCCACCATGACGTAAGGACCATCCTGGAAGATAAGGCAGAAGAAATGGAAGAGCCAGGGGATGAGCCAGGTGCTAGAAAAGCTGGATATGACATGGGTGTTGCACACAAACTCACAGTAGCTGTGGTTACCTACAGAAGGTAACCACATAACCTGCATACAAGGTAACCTGCATAAGATCAAGCCAGTTAAAATTCCAACAAGGACGGGAGTGGGGGTGGGGCTTCTAAGGCCCCGCCCCTAGCTGAGGCACTGTTGCCAGTTGATGTTGGCTGGGAGAGGGGGGAGAGTCACTTTTCTTTGGCTCACCCCTGTGGGTAGCTCCACACTCATGCGTATATCGTCATCAATAATTGCACCCAGTGGGCAATATTATTAAAAAATAATATTTTGTGCATACATAACTATTAAAATTGCCTGCAGATTAAGTGTGTAAGATGCATATAAATCAAATGAATTTTGTGTTTATACTTGAATCTCATACCCATCTTCTGCATACAAATATTTCAAAATACAAAAAATACCTTGTTTGTTCTATAGCTCATGTATATAGTGTCTTCAGCAATAGGGTCTTACCATCAAGTTGTGGTGGGTAGCCAAGAGCAGGGGGGAATTGCCCAGTAGTGTTTGAGGATCCATGGGACCCCTGGTCAACAGCTTCAAGAGAGGGAGCCCATTCCTGTCACTGGTGTTTTATTTTGTTAGCCTATGGTGTCAAGTAGAGGCAGTAACCCCTTTGTTATAGGTTAATTCCTTTTAATCTCTTTTTTAATGTCTATACTTTGAGCTGTAGAACAAAAAAGGAGAAATCAAGCTGGTGCTGACTTCAGAGCCTCATCTCTACTGGCTAGCGTTCACAGTGCTGGAAGGTACTGTGCCTGCTACTGGAAGGGAAGAAAGAACATCAAGCCTACACAGCTGTGAATCCTGTGAACTACAGCAACCAGCCTGTCAAGATATGTCCACCAGTGCAACAGTGGCACAAATATTATGGGAGTAACCAACCACTGTCTAGATATGGGGAAGTGGGTAAGAAATCCCAACCCAGTAGATTGATAAACTATACTCTGTGCTAAATGATCAAAAGATTTGAGCAGACACTTCACCCAAAAAGATATAAGCAAATAAACATATGTTCAGATTAAGGACTGGTCCACTGACTTCTTCCATGTCTAGCCAGATTTCAGCTGTTTTCTCATGTATATGATCTATCAAAATTAATGCTTTTTCATTTTCAAGTTAAAATGTTTCATTGAAAATAATGACACAAGAGACCATCTACAGAAGTGCACTTGGCATTGTGCCACTGACACAGGGCAGGTCACCATACTGCTGTGCAATTCTGTGGCAGATTTAGGGGTCCCTGAAAGGATACATTCACTGATTGCACTAATGAATCATCTATGCATAATTGGGCTATGGCTTGTAATGTAGGAATGGTAAGTTCTTTGCAGGACTGATTAGAAGATGACAATTACTCATGATGAATATGATGTGAGTTTAGATCATCAAGAATGAGGGAAAGACTCCCTTTAACAGTTAAACTCCTTTCATCTAGTCTGCATTTCTGTTTTCTCCTTTGTTCTGATCTGGTTCCTTCCTCACTGTCAGAACAGGCAGCATTTGCTCTGTGTCCACCTGCACTTCTGGCTCTATCCACACAGTGTCACCGTTAGGGTCTAAATGGGAAAGAATCCATGTGTTTCACTTCCTGACGCCAAGTGCACTGTCGATGTAGAAATTCTAGTCGTGATGATTGTCTTCCCCTTACTCCCTTTCCTGCCCAAAGTGAGAGATCCTGAAATATATCACAGAAACAAGGAATTGAGGATGATCTGTTAACACTGTGAACACCTGCTTGGCTCAGATTTTACCAGATTAGGTTTTTCCCTCTTCCCCACATGAACAAAGTACTTGGTCTAGATGCTTTTGTTTTCTTTGGAAAAGTAAGTTCAAAGCTATTAAAGATTTCTTAGTGGACTTACACAGTTCAAAGCTCAGGTTGCTCATTCCTTTTCTCACCTCCTCTTCTTGCTTTCATGTCCTGATCTACTCAGCAATGTTTCTGGGGTAAGTTTAAAAAGGCCTTTGTTAAAGGGCCTGAAGAGAGGCTCAGCAGTTAAGAGCACTGGCTGCTCTTGCAGAGAACCTGGGTTCAGTTCGCAGCACCCACATGGCAGCTAACAACTGTCTGTAACTCCAGTTCCAGGGGATCTGATGCCCTCTTTTGACCTCTGCAGGCATTGCACAGCATGGGTGCACTTACATACATGCAGGCAATACACTCATACACATAACATAAAAATAATAAAATATTTTTTTAAAAAGCTAACAACTTGAAATTTTCTTTAAACTACTTATTTTACAGATATTTGCAAGATCTTCCTAACCCTTAGAGTGATCTATCTATCTATCTATCTATCTATCTATCTATCTATCTATCATCTA